GGGTGTGTGTGTGTGGGTGTGGGGGGGGGAGAGAGAGAGAGAGAGAGAGAGAGAGAGAGAGAGAGAGAGAGGGAAAGAGAGAGAGAGAGTATGTGTCTGTCCATTGAGATGAAGATGAATAAAGACCAATGACTTTCCTCAAAATGAATGTCTCTTTTCACTGTCAACTTCCTGTCTCCCTTATGGTACTAGAGAGAGGAACATTCACATTTGTTCCCACGGCTCTCCTGGATGTGGAAATTCCAACTTGTGAGGATGAAAATGTATTTCATCACCTCTCTTATTTGGCACAAATGAATTTATTTTTAGAAAACGTGGAGAAGAAAAATGTGTCTTTTCTCTTTGTTCATTTACCTTGAATTAAAATACTAAAAGGAGCTGTGGATGAGGAAGTCATCCTTGTGGGGACAGTTTTTCCAGAGGAGTCAGTTGAAGGAGAGGAGGCCTTTCTGATCGCCTTTGCCTTCAACACTAACATCTAATACCACTGAGTCCAACTGTTTACTTCTGACTCAGGTTTTCCAGTCTCCAAGTTTGTGTGTGTGTGTGTGTGTGTGTGTGTGTGTGTGTGTGTGCGTGCGCGCGCACGCGCGCGCACATGTGTTTGCTTCTGTGAATGTGTTTGCCGGTATGTGTACCCAAGAAGACCTGAGGATGATAATGGACATTTTCCTTAATCACTCTCCAACTTAGTTTTTGGCATAGGATGGCCCTGAATCTAGAGCTGTTTTGGCTGTGTTGGCTGGCCATTGAGCCCTAAGGGTTCCTGTGTCTCTGTGTGCCCAGCACTGGCATCACAGGTGTCTAACCCACAGTGCCTATCTTATTATGTGGGTGCTGGTGGGGATCTCCTCTGGTCTTCATACTTGTGTCGCAAATTCTTTGTCAACTGAGATAGCTCTCCAGCTTTTTAGGAAAGTGCCTTCTGTCTGCTCACCCATCACCAATTAAATTATAGAAGTTTGGGTGAGACAGGTGAGGTCTCCATTCCTTGGTAATCGCTCTCTTAAATCTTCTTGTGAAACTTTGAGTCCAGAATCCAAACAAATGGCATTAGGAGCACTTCCATTTTGAGTCCTAGGTCAACTCTTGGAATCCATCTCTGACTATGAGCTATTAGGGGAGTAATCTCTATAAACATGTTAATAGAGAATCCTGTCACTCTTTTTCTTCTTTAAAGCTCTCAAAATACTATTTGGCAATATCCAAGGAACTATCTTTCCTACAATTCTCAATCATGAATTCTTATATTCATTTATCCATTCATCCAGCATGTATTTATGGAACACCCATTTTATGCTAGGGGGTGTTTTAGGCAGTAATGATAACATATTGAGCAAAACAGTACCTTGAACTTACAACCTAACAGAGTAAACAGATACATATGTAGTATGCCAGAAGAAGGCAAATGCTCAGAAGACAGAGTAAAGGTGTATGCACTGGGATGTATAGAGAAGCCCAAAGAAAAGAAATCATACTAACAAAAAGATATTTGGCAGAAGCCTGCAGGGGAGGTAGCAAGCCATGTGGTTAAATGGCAAGAGGATGTTCCAGGGAACCATAGGGATAATGTCCTGACATTAGTGCGTGCTTGACACACCCAAGAAACAACACACTTCAGCAGCACACAGGTGTGTAGGAAGAGAAAGAGCCACAGGCTGGTGGCCAGATCCAGTAAGACCACAGAGGTATTATAAAAACTTTGGCTTTTCCTCTGAGAGAAATGGAGAGGGCCGGAGAAGAACACTCACATGTTCTGACTTGTCAGTAAAAAGGGTTCTTCCAAATAACTTTGTAAAAAGTAAGCGAGAAAGGGAAAGTGGGAGAAGTGGAGAGACCAGTGTGTGCAGCAGTTTTTGAATAATCCATGCAAGAGATGGCAGAAGTTCAGAAGGTATGTGGACTATAGTTAGGTTTTCTACAATCAAACTAACACATTACAATTCTTACAAAATGGTTAGAAATCAGAATGCTGCCAAGGTTATTGGTGACATTAAAAAATTATTTGTGGAAGTAGTTAAGAGTAGATAGCCTTCTTCCAGATGACTAGCGCTCAACATCAGGCAACTCACAACTGCCTGAAATTCCAGCTCCAGGAATCCAACACTGCCTTCTGTCTTCCATGGGCACCTGCACACAATGGACATATGCACACACATATAGATTAAAAAATAAATGTTTTTAAATGACACTGTTGCTCACTATATTAGACGTTATATTTTTCTGTTGCATTGGTCTTAGTCCATTCCTGCTGCCACACTAAAATACATCACACTGAGTAATTTGCAAAAATCAGTACTTCATTTCCTACTGTTCTGAAGATTGGGAACAATGTGAGGCTCCAGCAGTAGCTAGTAAATGCCCATTCCTCATATGGGGCATTTTCTTATTATTACATGGTAGAAGAATGCTTTTTATGATAAACACCATGGCCAATAGCAACTTGGAGAAGAAAGGGTTTAATTCATCTTATAGTTTCACATCACAGTTCATCAGTGAAGGAAGTCAGGGCAGGAACTCAAGCAGGATCCATGGAGGAACACTGCCTACTGGCTTGCTCTTTGTGTTTTGCTCAACCTGCTTTTTTATACAACCCAGGACTAGACCCTCCCACATCTACAGTTAATAATAACAATAACATGCCCCACAGGCTTTCCTGCAGGCCAGTCTAGTGAGGTATTTTCTCAATGGATGTTTCTTATTTCCAAAAGCTTGTGTCAAGTAGAAAACAAAAAGCAACAACTAATGAAGATGAGGGCAGGGTAGCAGCCGGTTGTTTTAAATTTCAGTTACCAAGGCCAAAACCAGCTCCAGGAATAAGTCAAGGAAGAACTCTCCTGAGGAAGAATGAGTGTTGGCATGTGATACCTGTGACTCCTGCACCGTGCACAGTCCTGACGGACCAGGCACTGCTAGGCTTGGCTGAGTCACTTTGGAGATGTTCTACTGGGGAATACTGCCTGATTTGTTTTGGGACCCATGTCCAAAGATGGCACTATAATAGTGCCACCAGATAGGGAACAAGTATTAAAGCACACAATACTATGGGAAATTTTCATAAGGCAGATAAATTAGCAAAGAGAAAAGATATGTGCCCTTTTTTGGGCAACTCTGCATTGAACAGGGCTGTGCCAAGGTAGGCACGCATGCACCAAGGTGGGCTTGGGTCCCACAAATGTCTTGTTCGTAAGTTCAATACAGAGCTCTCCAGGTAAGGGCACCTTTCTCTTCTCTTTCCTATTTTCTCCGCCTTATAATCACTTATGGCATCTGACATCTTATATATGAACCAGTTTGATTATTATTATCATATCTCCCAACACCACAAGAAAGTGGGTTTTATGAGAAAAAGATTCTTCACCTAAGAATGAATGCTGGTGGGGGGGAATCAGAAGTCTCTCTTTCTCTCTCTCTCTCTCTCTCTCTCTCTCTCTCTCTCTCGCTCTGTTTCTTTCTTTCTTTCCTTCCTCCGTTCCTTCAACTAACATCCACATCTTACTGTAGATGATGAAACTGTACTATGATGAAAACACAATGGATTAAGAAAAAGACTCATTAGATGGTCCTATGTCTAAAATACAAAATTAAAAACGTTTTTCAGGGCAGGTGAGTTCAAAGGTTTTGTCGTAGATGCTGACACCGGGTTAGAAGTCTTAAAAAAAAGATCAAGATTTCTAGGACCAAACACACTGCCAACTGGCTAAGTGTTCACTGCAGTGGGGTACGGAGCTGTCTATTCACCTAGCTGATTCTTGGAGAATTTGGAGATGCACTGAAACTAACAAACGTGGGAGGAGTGAACACTTACTGCACATCAATTTAGCTTCCACAGAGCAATCATTAGTGCCCATGACAGTTTCAGGTGCAGCCCAGGACATCCTCCTCCTGTGGGTAGTTCTCAGAGACAGAGAACATAGCCCTAAAGAAGTGTATCGCGTTCACATTCTATATTTGACTTGTACTATATTTTCATTGCTGCTGGGGAAAGGTCCAATGGAAAATGCGTGCTATTCTAAATATATCCTCTCTATACCTGCTAGATTTAGATCGAAGCCTGGGGGCACTGCTCACGAGGTCACCTGCAGTGAAGCTCTTAGGCTGGCTTGTGTGTCAGGGTACCCCTGCAGCAGAGAGAGACAGGAAGGGCTTGACTAGGGTGCCATTCCTTATCATAGAACTCTGAGAGACGCAGGTGTGCCACCTCTTTCCACTTCGGCATACTGTCATAAACCCTGGGACATATTTTCCAGTTCTAGAGTAGTTAAGCCTCAGCCAGCTGTTTTTTTCTTTTTCTTTTTTTGTTGTTTTTAAACCTGTTTCCTTGTTTGTAAAATTGTTTGGCTAGCACCCTACCCCGCTCATTTCAGTGTTCAGTTCTCTTTCTGTTGGGTAAATGAGGTGGGGTGGGTGTTGTAGCTTCCCTCCCAGGAAAGGGAGAATCCTAACTGGGAGTATTTCATTCAGCACACTACAGAGTTGAAGCGCAGGCGTTCATAAATATTTATGAATGAATGTGTGCAAGGGTGAGTGACTGAACGGGTGAATGGATATGATGCTTTCGAGCCAATTGAGGAGAAATGGACCGTGAGGACCCGCTGAGGCTGATTTACCTCCGTAAAGGAATCTACTTCCCTTTCTTCTGTTCCTTCTCTTCCGGCTTCCACCACAGCTCACAGGCAGAGCAAGACCTGACTGGACCCTGGGACTCGCCTACGCTGGGCGCAGACGCAAGCAGGAGGTGGGAGGGGGAAAGGGCGGGCCGCTAGGACAGCAGGGAGGAGCCACAACTCAGAGGGCGGAGTCAGTGGGGTCCTGGGGGCGTGCCCATGTGCAGATGGCG